AAGAGCAGAAAGGCAACATCAGCCTGTTCTCTCTGCAATGACTTGAATAAGTAAATATTGGTGAGACTGGACAGCAACTGATAGTATTTATTTTGAGAGAAAGACTTTAAGCATTTTTGGAAATTCTTAGGCAGTTTGACGTAAAGCCTAACAAGCAGAAACATCTTACACAAAGGTGAATATGTATATGTGCATATGTTTGTATGTGTTTATAATATTATAATATTAAATATAGTGTGCATATGCACATATAATATTGCATATATATTATACCTTTATCAATAATTTGCTTACTTAAGAGTATTTTTGCTATATAAGGCCCTAATATGCAGAAATATTATCTTAATAGTAAAACATATGAAGGCTACAGTGTGCATTTGAAGTTTCCATGAAACCTAGTACAGAGCTCAAAACATATTAAATACTCATTCAAAAAATCTGTGGAGTAAACTGTACAAACTCACATTTCCAAAAACAGATATCTATTCTCTATTGCATCTTATAAAGACTTATTCTTGAGAACAGTATCATGACTGTGTACTGCTTTATTTACTCAACCAAACCCATTTCACTTGCCTGATGAGCATCGCGTCAGCTAAAAGTATTTCCTGTTGAAAATTGTCAGCAACGTATGTCAAGATCTCAGGCATTCTGTTTTAGAATTGAGTACACAGATGAATAATTAAATAGCTCAATTATCACTGTACTGTTTTTGCTTCAGTTTTGAAATTTAAATTAGCAACCCTCATCTTGGGAGTAGTCAGACTATTTTAGCTTTAGATGATAAGTCAAGCCTATTCAATGTTAAAGTAATGGATGATCAAAACAGAAAAAAAATCAGAAACATTATATACTAACTATAATTTATTTCACACATACACTTGCAAGTTTTGAGACATCTGTAGGACACTTAAATTCACACATAGTGCTATTCCCATAGTAATAGATTTTTCACAATAAGATGATATAACATACACATAATGACTAAAATTATAGAACCAAAATAATTACCTTAGGACTCACAAACCAACACAAAGAATTTGTCTCTTCTAATACATGCAGTTTTTATTTAGGTATATCCTGATTTTGCACATACATTTGAATGCCAAAGTTAAATTAATTTCAACATTTAAATGGAAAGAAGACAGATATCTTTATAGAATTCTTGGAATATTTCTTGACTTGCTTTATATAGTGCATTGCTGAAATCAGATTGAACATAGTAGCTATCTCACAAAGCATTCACTACCACTGCCTGATGGAAACACTATGAGTCATTTCCTTTGGCTTTCACATTATCTGTGATCCACTTGCTTTGAAAAGGGACATCTGAGCATCTCAACTATAACTACACATCCTTGACCAACATCTTCTCAATCCCCCCTCCCCCGTCATGTTCAGCATTTGAAACCATTTTGTTTCAAACTTCCAGAGGTCAGCTGTGTGTATATGCCACATGAGTGATAACATGGACTGCTGTATATAAAAGCTACATTAGACCAGTCTATAACAATTGGACTTGATGTCATCCATATGCATCCTGAGGAGATTTGATTTCTTAGATCACATTTATTTAGTCACTGTCTCATTATTTAAAGGCATTTTGTTGCAATCATTCAAACTGACAACTACCTTTCACACTACAACACATGAGATACATTGTTTTCTGTTACAATACTCAGAATATGCAGAGAGCATGTGGGGCCTGTATACCAGGAATATACTGTCATGTGGAGAAGGATCATAGTTATCCCAAACATTCTAAATTCCTAAGGGCCATGAATGTGTGTGTGTGTGTGTGTGTGTGTGTGTGTGTGTGTGTGTGAGAGAGAGAGAGAGAGAGAGAGAGAGAGAGAGAGAAAGAGACTATGTATATGTGTCAATATGTGTGTTATTTATGTCTTTGTAACATATGCAGTATGTATGTGCACACATATGTGGAAGCCAGAGAAGAGCATTGAATATTCTTCTTTATCATATATTATTTTATTTCTTGAGACAGACCCTCAAGACTAAAAATACATTAAAAAGTGTGGTTTATACACTGCCTTTAACATTTCTCAATCCCTCCAGTTTTTGCAAAGAATATGTAGTTTGCAAATTACTAGTTTGATGAAAATTAAAAATTAAGGATCACATAAAAAAAACCTTCTGGTAATAATCAATAGATGATTGAACCAGTGTTTCTCCATTAGTCAGAACAGAAGTCACAGAAAATAGCACAAGACTGAAATTCTGAATATATGTTATTATAAAAATGGTTTTTTTTGTACTAAAATTTTCAACTCATTTTGCAGATGTGTGACAAGATACTCTGCTGGCTATGGAAAGAGAAATCTGGACACCAACACAGCCACAACCGTCCACCTTCAATGTGTCCTGTATACAAGATAATGCTGGAGCAATGGAGGAGCAGAACTTGTGGGAGGGACCAGCCAATGTTTGGTTTAATTTGAGGCCCATGCCACTAGAGGAAGCCCGTATGTTCTACACTGCCCAGATGGCAAGGCATCAGAGTTGGGACGGGCAAGCTACTTAGGGTAGAACCAAACACAACTGGCAAAACCAAACCAAACAAAGAAAGAAGAAAGAAAGAAAGAAAGAAAGAAAGAAAGAAAGAAAGAAAGAAAGAAAGAAAGAAAGAAAGAAAGGAGGAAAGGAGGAAAGAAGGAAAGAAAGAAGAGAGGAGAGAGAGAGAGAAAGATAGGAAGGGAGAAAGGGAGGGAGGGAGGGAGGGAGAGAGTAATGTAAGAAAACAATGGAATAATTCCAAACGGTATTCTGGTATATTCATAGATTGGTGCCTTGCCCAGGATTCATCAGAGAGGCTCTCTACCGCAGTAGATGGGAGCGGGTGCAGAGGCCCACAGTCAGACATTGGCAGAGAGAGAGTCTAAATTGGGGGCCTTTTTCAGATCCCTCCCCTCAGAGCTTAAGGAATCCCATGGAAGAGGGGGAGGAAAGACAGCAGGAGTCAGAGGAGATGAAGGACACCAGGAGAACATGGCCACTGAATGAACTAAGCAGGGCTCCCAGAGACTGATGTGGCAAGCAAGGGGCCTGCAGGGGTCTGCAGCAGATCCTGTGCATGTGTTAGCAGCTTGGTGTTTTTGTGGACTCCTCACAGTGGGAGCAGGTGTATCTCTGACTCTTTTGCCTGCTCGAGTCTGTTTTCCCCCTACTGAGTTGCCTTGTCTAGGCTCAATCTTTCTTATTATACCTTGTTTTGTTTTGGTTTGTTTTTTCCTGTTTGGAAGTCATCTCTTAGAGGCCTGCTCTTTCCTGAAGAGGAAATAGGATTGAGAGTTGATCTGGGTAAGAGGGGAGGTTGGGGGTGGAGGGAATGTGACTGGAATGTATTGTATGAGAGAAGAATATATTTTCAATTATAAAAAAATGTCATCTCTGTTTTCTGTTTTCATTTGACCATGTTTCTGCTTATTCAATGACAGAAGCTAACCAATGACTTCCATAAAATAAAATGTGTGGTGTGTGTGTGTGTGTGTGTGTGTGTGTGTGTGTGTGTGTAAACGAATGTGAGTTTGGTTTTTGTTTCTATAGCATATGGACTGTTCATCTGCATGTTTGTATCTGTGTGCTCACACATACGCAATTGTACACACATGTGTGGAAGCCAGAGTAGAACGCTAAGTGTTTTTTTGCTTTATCACTTACTGTTTGTTCCTCTAAGTCAGACCCTCTCTCTGAATCTGTAACTAGGCTGATGGCCAGGAAGTCATGAATCTTTCTATTTCCCCACCCCACCATCTCTCCCATAGTACTAGGGATACAGTCATATTAGCTAAGTCATGAATAGCTCCTACACACACGTTACCTTTTGCTTTCACATCATTTTGTGAGTATGTCAAAAATGCTCACTCCCGTGGCCATCTCTCTAAACTAGAAATCAAATATTTTTTTATTAAGAATCTTACTGAGTATTTTTTTCAAGAGATTCTATCTCTGATACAGTTATCTCATAATAGTGATTTTAATATTCGATTTTTGCCTTTTACAAACCCATTGCAGCAGATACATTTTGGAGTGTAATTTTCTGAACAGAAATCAAGTAATCCATCCTATTCCATCAAATGTTAATATAATTTGTTGAATTAAGAATGTCTGTGCAAGCCAGGCGGTGATGGAACATGCCTTTAATCCCAGCACTTGGGAGGCAGAGGCAGGTGGATCTCTGTGAGTTCAAAGTCAGCCTGGTCTACAGAGCAAGTTCGAGGACAAGCTCTAAAGCTACACAGAGAAACCTTGTCTCAAACAAACAAACAAACAAACAAACAAAAAAAAAAGAGTGTGCGGTAGTTATAGATATTCTTTCATGTTTTAATACAAGTTGCCATGACTGTCTTGGAGAGATCCCTTACAATGTTGTGGGTAGGGATAGCTTTTGCATGGCATCAAGGCTTAGATAGAGTGCAGTACTATTAGTATTATACTGAGGTACCACGGCATTATGCTGAGGTTCCATGGCATTATACTGAGGTACCACGGCATTATACTGAGGTACCATGGCATTATACTGAAGTACCACGGCAGGACAAAGCACTACTAAATATTGTTTTCAGTGTCTCTTTTGCTCTGTGTTCTACCTACTTCACATGCCTTGATTCTTTGATTTTCTCTCCTGAGCCTTCTTCCTTTATTTCCTTTATGCCTGTTTATCTAGATCCTGTATCTCATCTATGTCTGATTTCCCAGAATGCCTAATGTAATGATTATTCCTCTATACTTCCTTGATAGCTGTCTCTTTTCATTTGCTAAACTCGTTCTCATTATTTTTGTGTTCATGTCATGTATGTTTTGGAAAATGGAAAAGTTAGAATAACTCACTATCTTACCTTCAAATATCTGACTACTATGGAGTTATGGAATGTTGATTTCTGTTTTGTACAGATTCATAACACAAGCACCCTTTTACTTGTCCATGTGTCTAAGGTGGTAAATAATGAGGGAAACTATGGCATGGTCCAAGTAGAAGAACTTACCTGAGGTCTTGGGATGGCTCTGCTCTGATATGAGGTGTTTCCACAGAGTGCCCAAATACTGCTCCTTCAGTTCCTGAAGACAGCATGAACACAGCAGTCAGGATAAGCAAGTCTGTATACACAGTGGCTCTCATCTGAGTCTGTGCATCAATATTCTTCCCTGAACTGAAAACAGGTGCCGGTCAATTGAAAAATTAGCATTAGAAAAGGAGGACAAGACAGAGGGAGACCGGCTAAAGAAGGTGGATATGAATACTGAGTGCTAACTGCTTTTATGATTAAATTATTACTACTGTAGATAGAGACAAGTCACCTTCTGTTCCAATCAAAGAACAAAGACCTTTCATCTTTGTTCATTGCTTTATTTCAGAGCTAAGTGGATTTGAGAAATAGGATAGGCTGAAATACTTAGGTCAGATTTCCCATATCTCAAGAGCTTGAAGAAACTGCCGATGGTGAGCTCAGGTCAGCACAGTGCTAGACATTTACAGACAGGTTTCAAATAGCACTTAGCCACTGTCTAGCAGAGAGCTTTGCAGAGACCACAGAATCCATGATACTTTGACTTCCGTAGAGTTAAGGCTCTATCTAAAACTGAGAGCCACTTTAATTCATTTCATTATAGTTGAGTTCATCTGGGGTCATTGTTGTCTGAAGAGGTCAGGGACTCCCCTGCCTTGTTCAGATAGTAGAGTGACACCTGACCTGAACATACTGACTGACTGATTTTCCAGGTTACTAGAGCTTTTCTACAATTTGAGTGAGAAAAAGAGACTGTTTTTCTTTCTAAAAATGAAGGGAAGTCTTTTTCTTTTAAAGTTATAATGACAAAATTGCTTTGCAATAAAATTCAAGCAAATGTTATAAATCTTTTTTTTTCAGATTACACCTTATTTTCTTTTGATCTAGTCTTCTTCATATGTTTTGATGTAAGAATGTCATGCTTGTTTCATAAATGTCATGAGGCCTACATTAATAGTACAGTGCAATTCAAAACTTTTCACTGAAATCCGAACAAATATGGCTGTAACATACTGTGGAGGGAAATATAAAACATGTCAATTCTGCAGGCAGGACCAGCATTTTCAGGAGTAAAAAATTGTGAAGGCTTAAAACATCTTAAAATAACTAATGACATGGGAACTGGATTAGGTCTTCTTAATGATCTTTTAAAATAAATATTAATGCACACCTGGATGTGGAGCGATGGAGGAAGACTATTAGGTCCAGAGGCGAAACTATTAGGTTTTGCCATTCTTACTCCTGGATTACAGATTTTAATTTCCTGAACTAAAAGCTGTTCGCATCTGCCTGTCTCTGAGCCTTAATAGATATTTCCCCATGTAACAAAAACTCTGTAGAGTATACACTGCTTGTTTGTTTGCTTCTTATAATTTTATTAATTTAGAGTACTCATTTCTTTAAAGGATTCATTCTCATGATACTTTGATTCTGCAAATGGAATATTCCTTGTTATGGGTATGAAAGGTAACATATTTGTTTCAGCTAAGGTAAATTAATAATTCTGTGATTTGGCTGGGGGGTGGCATTTGAAAGAATATCCCCAGATGCAGATTTACATATATCAAGGAGAGTGACTGACATTTTAATACACACTGTAACATCCTGATAGGATAGTTATCCTTGCGAAAAGTTCAAATACTAATCTTTAGTGCTGTGTGATTATGAAAATTTCCTAGACAAGGAGTCAGAAATATGATTAGAGAACAGTGACAATATTTATTTTCAAACACTAGTTCACACCACTAGTAACAATACAGGATCTGTATGGCTGAATGCAAGAGTAGAAATCAACCAAAACTTCAGTTTGTCAGTAAGGATTAAATCCAAATAAACACAATTAGAGATGGTGAAGGGGCCATAAGAACAAATACAAAGGAAATCCATGGAATCATAATAGCATACTTAAAAAGCTTGCAAGATCAAGATCAGATACACAACTTAAACAGACCTATAGCCTATAGTGAAGTAGAAGTAGTATTTAAAAGTATACCAACCAAAAAAAAACTTAAATAAATAAAACCTAGGTATAAGTGGTTTTAGGGTCGAATTTCCCTGGGCCTTCTGAGAAGGGTTAACACCAATGCTCCTCAAGGTATTTCACATAATAGAAACAGAAGGGACATTTCTCAATTTGTTTCATGAGGATAGTTAGTTACCCTGACACTCAAAACACACAAAGACCTGACAAACAGAATGGATTATACATCAATTTCCTTTATGTAACTGGGTGAAAAAATTCTCAATAAAATACTTGTAAACTGAATGCAAGAACACATAAAAAAAAAATCATCCACCCTGATCTAGTAGGCTCCATCCCAGAGATGCAGGGATGTTTCAACATAGGAAAAATCTGTCAGTGTAATCCACCATATAAACAAACTGAAAGACAAAAAACACATAATTCTATCATTAGATGCACAAAAGGCTTTTGCCAGAATCCATCCCCCCTTCTTGATAAAACTGGTGAAATCAGGAATACAAGGGACAGAACTTAACATGACAAAGGCAGTTTACAGCAAGACCATAGCCAATATCAACTCAAATGAAAAAAAAAAAAAAAGAAAAAACAAACAAACAAACAAACAAACAAAACCACTCAAGCAATTCCACAAAAGTCAGGAGTAAGGCAAGCTTGTACCCTTTATCCATATCTATTCAATACAGTACTTGAAGTCTTAACTAGAGCAATTTTAAACTGAAGGTGATCAAGGTGATATAAATTGGAAAGGAGGAAGTCAAAATACATAAGTGACCCTAAAAATTCTACCAGGAATTTCTTACAGATGATAAACACTTTCTGCAAAGTAGCAGGATACAAAGTTAACTCACAAAAATTGGTAGCCCTCATGTATACAAAAGGACAAATGGACTGAGAAAGGAATCAGGGAAAAATCACCTTTTACAAATAGCCACAAATATAAAATAAAATAAGTTGGACTATCTCTAACCAAGCAAGAGAAGAACTTGCATGATTAAAAAGTTTAAGACATAAAGAAAGAAAATGAAGAAGATTTAAGAAGATGGAAAGATCTCCCAGGTTCATGGATTGGTATTATTAATATAGAAGAAATGGCTATCCTACCAAAAGCAACCTACAGATTCAATATAATTCCCATTAAAATTCCAACACAAATCTTGAAGGGACAATTTTCAGCTTCACACATAAAGATAAAAAAACCCAGTATAGTTAAAACAATCCTGAATAATAATAATAATAATAATCATAATAATAATAATAAAAATTGCTAGAGGTATCCCCATCCCCAACCTTAGGTTGTACCAAGAGGTACCGAAAGAAAACCAAAATATTGACACAAAAACAGATATGTTGATCAATGGAATTGAATTGAAGACCCAGACATTGGCAATAATTAATAATCCTTAAACTAATCTTTATAGGTGTTAGATCAAAACTGTTTATGCTAGATGTTCACTGAAACTTTGGGGAATCAAATGCCAAATATTAATTTTCTTTTAATTAGGAATTCTCTCAAGTGCCAGACTGTTATATTTGTCAAATTTGATAGGCAACTGAGTCAGTTCTGATATTCAAATAAGTAAGAAATCATTTTAATCTAATTTTCATTGCTTTTAGAAGCTATATGCTAAATCTATTTGAATATATGAATAAATTTAAACTGCATTCAAATGAGTTGAAAATTAAATAAAGCACTATAAATTTATCCAGAAATGTTATTTATAATTATTGGTCATTATTTACTGGGACACAGCAAAATTTTCTTTTGCCTCACTTCAGCATATGTCATGAACTCACATGAAAAACTATAGAAAAATATGTATTATGCTAATTCATATGCAGAAGAATGTATAAGATATCAGTTAGGGTGTTATCCTTTATACATCTCTAAAAATATATTTAATGAACTAGAAATGACATTAAAATTAAATGTATCTCTTTTTCCTCCTCCTCTTCCTCATCCTCTTCCTACTCCTTCTTCTTCTGAGACAGGGTTTCAATATTTAGCTCTGGCTGTCATGGAAGTTACTAAGTAAAACATGCTGGTACAGGACTGGGCTTCAACATGTTCTTACCCCTAAGGCTTGGAATTAGAAGTGAGCACTTCCACACCTGATTTCAATGGACCTTTTGACTGGATAGTCTTTATTCTCTACATCCTGAATGTGTTTTCCAAGTCATTAGTTACTAGTTACTCATTATCTACTCATTGGCTTATATGTTTTTACGGAGGCCATTTTCTGTCTAAGTTCAAGCAGAAGAGTTCCACAGTGAGGATCACAGTGACAGTGGACAGGAGACATATGGCCAAGTGGAAGAGAACAGTTGGGACACCTCATTTCTCTCCTTGGAACTTAATCAACATAGGAAATGTCTCGATTATATTTGTATTTGTTTTTATATTTGTCAAGAGGAATTTCTAATTTTTAGTTTTTTCCGTTAAAATGACTATGACCATGAATATATTTCGCTTCTTTTTTGAATGGAGGCAAAGAAGAAAGTGACTTTTGCATACAATTATGCTTCTCCTTAAGGACTCAAGAATCTTAAGACAAAGGAAGTAAGAAAAGGAGGTTGTAGCGCTCTAACCCTCTTTACATAACCAATCACAACAGTAGTTGAAGACTGACTCTCATTCACAACATTAGGTTTCGGGCAACATGGATTTTCAGACACCTTCAATGTCTAAGAACTACAGTAGGCTTTAGTTTGTAAACACATCAAAACGTGAATACTGTAATTCACCTCATCACTCTTTCCTCTCAAGTGGGATGGATTTGCTCCTACAAATGGAGGGAAAATACATTATGTTGGACACAGGATGGAATAATCATATTAAAAATACATTAGCTATGCCATTTTTACTCTATTTAAAGGTGCTTCTCTAATTTAAAAGGCATTCTCTCTTAAGAAAAGGGACAGTGGGGGCAGGAGGTAAGAGAAGACTAGCAGGGTAGAGAGAATATGAATTGGGGACCTGTAACATGGGGTTCCAACTGGGGAAGAACAAGGAAGGTAAACACAGGAGAAAGAGGGATGAGGGACAAGTAACACAAAGGTTGTTTGATAAA